ACACACACACACACACACACACACACACACACACACACACACACACACACACACACACACACACACACACACACACACACAGCCGAGCTTGAATGAAACACAGAGACCCAGAAGTACTTGTTCTGTACTGTGGCATATTATTTTCGAATCAATAATTTTTCAAATTATGAATTTCACACGTAAAAATAAAAAAAGACACATACATTTCTTGGGGGTGCTATGGCTATCCTAGGGGGAGCTTCAGCACCCCCTACTAGCGCCCCCCTGGCGCCGCCTATGACGGACATACACAACCACTCAGAAGCGCCACATGTAGGCTATCAACAACAGCCTGCCCTGGCCTCAAACCACCACAGCCTGACAACGGCACAGCGAACTAAGAAGAGGATTACACCTGTTTCCTTGATGTTTGTCTCTGGGGAATGGGCCGGTAGGCCTACATGGACCGGTTGCTTTAATATAGCTTTTGATCTTGGTGTCGGGGGTCTCAATAGCGCCAGAGAGTCCCCTATCGGTTGGGGCCCTTGGGGGAACTGTTGGACCACCGCCGGGCACAGCCAAATCCAGCCTCTCCTCCTGGCTGGTTGGAGAAGAAGGTTGCACAGCCAAATCCAGCCTCTCCTCCTGGCTGGTTGGAGAAGAAGGTTGCACAGCCACGGCCACGGATACAGCTTCACTTGTGGAGCTAGATGGCAATGATGGTGGTGAGGCAGGTGAGCTATCGTTAGCCTCCGGCTGCCGCTGCACGTCAACATTGCTAACGTTAGCGCTCGATTTCGAGGACGATGTATGACAACAAAAAACTGTCTAATTTCGTCAGTTTAGCTGTTACATCTCCTTGTTCTCTCTTGTTCTTTCTCTTTTGAGCGCCGCTCTTGTGCTTTGGTTTGCTGTACATTATAAATGCAAGCTATTACATGTTTTATATAATGCTGCCGAACTTGCTGCTGCTGCTAGCTACAGTACAGTACAGGTTGATTAAACGGTTCGCTCGTCACGCAAGGTATCACAGGACATGACAGGGAGCAAGGTCATTGGACAGACAAATTACAAATTAATTTAGGTTGCTTGGTTACTTTGAAGACTGCGTGGACCGGTCAATGCCATTGGGGCCCCAACAAAAAAAAAAAAATATATATATATATATATATTGCGATGCGTACTGTGTGCAGACTGCAGTGACTCTCTATAGTCCCCCTCCTCCCTGTAAAACTGCAACTTGTTGTTTTTACATGTTAAAGAATTCAACGAGTGAGATCAAATGTCTATGTGAGTTTAAGAGGTGCTGCTGGATGACTTTTGGAAACAAGCCAGTCTTCTTGTAAACTAAACTAACCATTTTCTTATGTAAAAGAGAGATAAGAGATACAGTGTGTCTTAAAAAGTAGACACAGTGCTTTGTTGCATACTGACAGAAATACAAGTCGACTTTTAAAAAGAGCATTCTGTCTGTGCCTTATTGACAGAGCAACAACACCAACCAAGCTGTTCCCAGAATGCTCAGACTACATGTAGGTTTAAATGTAAAATAATCAATGTTTTACATGTAAATGTAAAACAGTCTTAATCCCTGACAACTCCCCTATGTACAAATAATCCTGAAGGTTAAAATAAACTCATCCTATAGGGCTTTATAGTTACATAAAATATAATGTTCTATATTTTACCATATATTGCCTTTGATTTTTTTTTAAAGTTTTCGCACTTATTAATCTCACTAGATTTCCCTGAGCTGCCTCACTCGCACTTTTAAACAGAAATCAAACAGGGGCTACAACGATGAACTCCCTGAATGAGTTTTGTGAGATATTATTATTTTAGTCCCACTGAAATTCAGCAGATTAATAATACATTCAGGCCTGTTTAGGTAATACAGATAGCGAAATCTACCCAGGGACCACAGGCCGTGTAATACAAAACCAACTCATCATTGTTGGTCTGAATTAATGTTCTATCCTATAGGCAAACATATTTACAGTGAATCTGTTGCATAATGTTTTTCAGATGTTCCGTTTGCATCTCACTGCAGTTTTCCCAGTAGAGGTACAGAATGAAAGAAAGCTTTGGCGACACCTATGGGTCAAAAGTAGATTAGGCGGTTACACTGTGCAGAACATTCTCATATAATCTGCTTTCGAGCAACAACATACCTGGAGGAGATGTTATCCATGTCATCATAAATCGTAGCTGGAAAACCTGCAAGTACATCTGACACAAGAAAGCACCTGAAACTGAAACCTTACCTCCTGTTACACAAACATGCCTGGCTGTACACAGTATATATGCCACTTCAAAGTCTCTCAAAAACAGGAATCCACAGAGATACAAACAAAGGCTTCCCACATGGTAGGGGCCATTAAATGCAAAAGAGTGAAGGAAATAAAAGTGTGCCCTACTAATTATGCTATTATTTGCAAAGGAATACAAGCACTTAATGGCATTAACATTACAGGAAGAGGCATGGAAGCTTTTCTGGATTGAAAGGCATTTTGGAAAAAATAAAATATCACAAATACAAGCTGGGCATAAAGATAGATGTACAATGTGAACTCTGTTTGATGTGTAGTGTCAGTATATGTAAACATTTTGGTTAAAAAGTCATATTTATGCTTACGTGATGCGCTGGTGGACTCTCAGATCATACATTTTAATAGTTGGTGTACAATTCCCGCTTCCTTCTTTTATTATTGATTGATTCATGATGTGTGTGTACTAATGTGGAATGTGTTTCTTTGGACAAAAGCATCTGGCAAACATTCTTTACTGTGCTGCATGTTTCCAAAAATAGAACTTAAACAACGTAATTATGTCATTTGCATTATTTACTAGCCAGAGGCATCTTGCCTAAACATAAAAAAAATGTACGACCTCAAACCCTGAAAGCGGAGTTTCCAAACAGCACATGAAGGCACCGTCTCGGTGATTGTCTCATTGATGTCCTGAGCTATAACAAGATCTCTGAGGAGGAGGCATCTGTTTCATTGTTTGGGCCAGACGGTGCAGCTTGTCAGGGGAATTATTCTCGACGGCAAAGGCCTGCTCGTGCTACAGATGGCTTATCTCACAGTAAATGATTCAGAAAACGATAAGTCTTCTAACGTGGAACAGGTCATCTCCTTCTTCTAAATGGAATGTCTTCCGCAGTTAGAGTCTGGACAGAGCGATGCTGGATATCTGTTTCTCTGTGGAAAAGTGAGAATCTGTGTCAGCTGCTTAGGAAAGAGTCGGCAATTTTTAATCCACATCCTCAGATCAATTAAGGTTGAATTTAGGCAAAAGCAAACCATACATTTCAGACAGGAATTTAAGATGTAAATATGACGGTGTTAACTCCCTTACATAACTATCCAGAGAAAGCCTCACTGCAGGAAACGAAGCCGGCTGATTTCTTGCAAAATTATGGTTTAAGTTGTCAATTTAGGCCCTCGAGCAGAAGCTAAAACCCTTCTCCTGTTCTCTGTGTCAAAACACTGAAACGTTAATGTGCAAGTCCAAACCTATAAGTAGGCAAAGGATTGTAAGCCAACACATACTGTGATATTCAACAATTATCAGGCTAAAAGCTCAAAATGTCAGACCGAATCAAAGTCAAACAGCTGTGAAACACATATAATAGACGGGATTGCTTAATTTACCTGCTGGTTTAAGTACGACTCACATTTTGTTGAGTATATTGTCACTCACAAAGTATATTAAATTAACTTGGAACATTTCTTGGCGCATGCTCTGCCTTTGCACACACATGCAAACACTCTTTGACCCAGGTCTGGAAGTGAGGGGTTTGACAGCCGACAGCAGAGTCTGCTCTACTTCTTTCTCTCTAATGTGATATCTGGCCTGATGTGCAACATCAAAGACTAAATCTAATCTGCCCTATCCGTCCCTTTAGACATGGACATTAGTGCATCTAAGACGTGTGTCCGTCCTCGTTGTCAGATTCTTTCTGTTCCGCGTACAAAGATTAGAAAGAAACCGACGGGGACAGGGAAAGAGAGCGATGTGGGGAGAAAGATTTGGGGAGACATGAATGGCTTGCAGGTGTTATTTTTTCTTTTTTTAACAGAGAGAGATGGATCGAGTGGTAGATGTGGAGTCGTGACTCCCCCCCCACGCTGTCATTATGTTTTATGGCAGAAGAAGTGTTTGGGAAACTGAAGCGAGGTGCCGTAAGGATGGGCTATGTGAGAAAGGGTGATAGTTTTACACCAAGAGTATGTGTAGCAAGGAGCGCTATCAACTCACAACCAACATATCTAAAAGTGGAGTGTGAGAGAAAGAGGGAGAGCCTCGCTTTCAAGTATGGTGCTTCAGAAAAACAAACAGAAGTGAGTGCAGAGTGAGTGAAGGTGAAGGAGTCACTGTTGAGATAAAGTAAGGGCACAGGGTGAAGGAGAAGGCTGCATGTCTTTTCTATGCACAGTACAGAGAGTTTGTTACACACTGATAAATAAACACACAGAAGTAAATCTGCAAAAAGATTTTAAATCGGCATTGTTTTAAACATTCTTGGATCAATTTACAGTTTTTTTTACTCATTATTCTCAAAGGTAAACACATTTCTTGTGGTTGTCTTCAACACCAGTAAATGCTTTTCGCCCGCTTCCCAAACCCCGTAACGTAAACTAACATTACAGAAGAGCACATTCTCTCGCAACTCACTTGCATATTCAGATCCTACAAACGACTCCTTGACGGGTACGAAATTCCTAAATGCAACATACTCGAAAAAGCGCAGACAAACACATTCTACATACATACGCACACAAATGTGCACACATGTTTTTTTCTCTTGCTCGCTCCACACACACACACACACACACACACACACACACACACACACACACACACACACACACACATCACACACACACACACAACACACACCCACACACACCACACACACACACACACACACACACACACACACACACACACACACACACACACACACACACACACACACACACACACACACACACACACACACACACACACACACACACACACACACACACACACACACACCATTACTGGCATGTATTATAAATATACATTACAATGCAGACTCCTTCGTTTTCGCAAGTGCAGCACTGGAGGAGCGCTGCCCTTCCGTCAACTGCGTCTTTGCATTCATTAGTTGGTTTATGACATGCGCTTCAACATAATCTGTTTAGCAGTACCTGTTACATGAGAGCAGGGTCACTGAGTGTATATCCCTACTGATTAGTCATAACCAATAACCCTCTCTTTGTCAGGCATAATAACATCTGCCTAGTTATCTACACAAGCAAAATGCTGCAGTAAAAATGTCACTGTTTAAAAAGAAGAATACAAAAATGGCACAGTAGCTTATCGAGCATTTGAAGGCCTTCAAATGCACATTAATAAATTAGGTAGATAAATAATATACTTTAATGTTAAAATAAATACATTTGAAAAGTAAATAAATTAAAAAAAGCACAACATTGTAATCTGATTAACGCCAGCCTACGTTGTCCTGTATAACAATATAAAAAAGTGAACTTTATTTGCACATTCACACATGTTTTTATTTTTTTTTCCTAACAAAATGGCGGCAGCGTTACTTTGAGACTCAAAGCACCGTTTCTCCTCAGGCACCTGTCGCACTCTGGCAACTGTATGGGGTCGTTTCCATGGTGACTGCTGTAATGGCCATCAGCACTGATTGGCTGGGAACATGTGAAGTGGAAAGGAAATAGATGGGGTTGTCTGGGATTAAAAGGGAACTCGCTGCGGAGAGAGGTTTTTAAGAATTGTAAATTAGTGTTATTCTGAATGAGTCATGCTGATTGCTGCGAGGAGAAAGGGTTGACATCCGGGGAAAACTACGCCAAGTGCTGAAGGTCAATGCCTCGGAACAAAACACACATCTACCACATTTAAATGCCATCAAATTACTAGTCCAGGGTCTGTATTTTTCTAGGGTTGTTACAGTGTGAAGGCAGGAAATGCAGACAAAGGACTTGTTGTAAGAGGGCACTCGCTATCTCCTAACAAACAGGCTTTGCATCTGTACCTATCACAAAGCCAGGGGTACTTCTGATGTCTGGTGAAAATGGATTCTTGAAAGGCCCGTGGATATCCTCACAAAGTCTTCCCCTTTTCTAAAGAGACATTTTGAGCATTTATAACCAGCAGCTCCCTCATACCAGCTCAAAAACATTCTTCTATTTCCAGGATAATGGCAGCAGTTCTCATCAACGACTGAATATACATATCCTGTATAGATATCAGTACACATCCAAAGTCCAGCTTGCTTTTTTACTGCATCTTAGTTGAGTTTCATCCATCAGTACACTTTGTCCATGGTCCAAGGCCTAAACTTCCACTGCAAAGTCCAAGTTCACCAAATTCTTCAAAGCCTACAGTCACAAAAAAGCTGAAGACAGATCTGCTTACGATTCCACAGGTGATTTTTTTTAATATCCATGCTACAAAAAGAGTACGTAGTCTACATCCAACTCATTAGTATTCCTCTTACTCACTTGCCTGCTGGCTGAATATTGGTTGTGGTCTCCATGTTGTAGCAAACACACCTACATGAAAAAATGCTGTGGTATTCATATGACGATGATGTTCAACGACACATGGAGGGTCAAACTACACTGATGTACATATGACAGCAAAAAGGCCTCTCCTTTTTTTTTTTAAAGTCTAGTGAAGTTTATTCAAGAATTTTTCCTTCGTCCTTTTGTTTGTGGTTCTGTTGCTCCTCTACTTTGTCCTCCTCTGTGTTTCTGCCAACGTTCACAACTGGGTGGATACAAAGCCCTTCGGACAAGGCGGTCCCAGCTATGCATCAAGTGTCACTCACGGTGACACGTCGCTAGGACATCAGGATGGCAGACAGGAGCAGCATCGCCACGGTGAGAATAAGGCGGTCACGTGATGGGCTGCTGCCACTGATGCTTTTCTCCAGTTTGGGAACTTCAGGGTTAAATTCATCTGGAGAGAAAGTCACAGAAAGAGAACAAGTGAGAAGAACGTGAGTGTGAAAGAACAAGATAAATGGATGGTGTGTGCGTTTGTGTGTCAGACAGAAGGAAACAAACCATTACTACATTATTAATTCATCAATCTAAAGGCAATGTGGGATGGAGAATTAAAAACACTTTTGTTTCTGATCTGTTTTTTTCATATATTCCTCTTTTCACACTAATGATGATTTATCCTAGAGGGATCTCAATCAAACCAAATGACTATGGCCTTGCCATTGATTAGACACAACAGAACATTAGCTGGAGGGGAAAGACAGAGAAAGAGCTGCGAGAACACACTTTTTAATATTCAGTAAAAGGTGGATTACACTGAGTCATTATGCTCTGTCTGAACATCATGTTTCCCATTATACAGTATCTAGAGCAGGGGTGTCAAACTAAAATACACAGTGGGCCAAAATAAAAAAATGGGTACTAGTCGAGGGCCGGACTGGTTCAATGTTTATTGCAAAACGTATTGAAATGAACTTATTGCACATATTAAACCTGGAACTAACAAAGCTTAAATTATTGCCTATAAAAACAACATTAAACATTAAATAATCGGTAGCATTAATTTCTTATGGCTCTATCTGCAGCTTTTCCAGAGTCATTTCTTATGATTACATTTTCCCACAGGCCAACAACAGCTTCAAAAAAACACTTTCCCTCAAAGAAAAACCCAAACATGCGCTGTTGTCGCAAGAAAAAAAGTGCAGAAGGAAACATCCATTGAAACTCAGTTTGCTGCTCTGTGACGCTAGTTCAGATACTTGGCATCTCATCTTGGGTGCAAGGTCATCAATGTTTGGGCTCAGGCTCTGAGCTGAGGAAACCCTCAGGATTGAGTGAAGGTGTGCGTGCAATATACCGGAGGGCCAGATCTAATAGTAATTAAAAATTATCCTGCGGGCCGAAATTAAATCTACCAAGGGCCTGATTTGGCCCCCGGGCCTTGAGTTTGACACATGTGATCTAGAGGGTTACTATATGCCAAAATAAAACAAAAGGAACCAGACAGGGCTGTGTTGCTTACACAACCGTAAGAAAAGCCTGGACTGGCTCCACTGAGAAAACATTTTTTCTTTCTATAAAGTAATTAAACTAAATGCAGAAAAAAGCTACAATTTCTTCTTGAAATAACTCACATTAATGCAAATAAGAGATATAAACATGTGTAAGTGAAGTGGGGATAATAGAGGAGCTGTCATACTGATGTTATGTTGTATTATTAGAAAATGATTTGGGTTAAAACATCAAATTGACACTGGAAAGAGGACAAATACTTGTTTTGACTCAAGAAAGGAGATATCTATTTGATAAATTGTCTCTAAAAACCAAGACAAATCTTGCGTTTGTCTATCCAAAACTCATTACATTTACTTTACATCATGTCCCAGTGTGTAAGAGTTCCAGTTGGCGTATCTTCATCTAACAAATCAAACTGGCTTTCAACCGAGGATACAACAAACTAAGCTGGCAACACATTTTCAAAATGCTGTTTCACTGTTAGGCTAAATCCTTGCCTGGTGTTTGTGAAATATGACACAGACAGTAAATGTCTGCAAGTTAAAACAAGGCATGTGATAAGAGATAGCAACAACAAAACATGACAGCTGATGTCTGATGAATGTACGGAATTCTGTTGGCGCCACGTCTGTCTGAGAGGAAACCATCCGACCGCTCTGGTTTGTCCTGGTTGTGACTGGCTCTTGCCCACGTCCTTGTTCTTAAGGAACACGAGGCATCTGTCAGTGGCGATGACACACGACACTGACATACACACCACAGTGCACCGGCATGAACGCAAACTGAAAACAGTCTGTTAGGGAGAATATAAACCAGCACTACCTCGGGGCGGGGCCTCAGGTCGCAGTGTCTGTCCGGTTCGTCTCCAAAAATGTCAATATACACTGAGTGTTAAAAATCCAAACTCTCCTCTCTACCTGAGTCACTAGTGTCAATCACATGTAGACCACTCCCTACCAAAGTCTATAAACTCCGCCCTTCAGGCCTGTCACTCCCTTACTTCCATCCAGAGACTGCAGAACAAAGCACTTTTCCTTTTGATTAAGGAAGGAATATGTTGAAGGAAAGTGAGCAGTTAATCCTGTGGATGCATTACATGATATAAAAACATCCATATTCTTCACTCGTGCTGTAACCGCCACCAAACCACCGGATTATAAAATAAAATGTTAAACGGCCTGCTGGATCCAGTGTTTTAATGTGCACACCGGCTGGGATCAGGGGCGCCGTAAGGGGGTGAAAAGTTAGGACGATTCTAAGGGCCCGTGACTGACAGGGGCCCAAACAATTTTAGAACATTAAGAAAAAAATGTTTAAGTAACCAATGTGATTATCTTTTCATGGGGCCCAAAATCCCTGGCGGCGCCCCTGCCTGGGATGTTCAGTGAACCACCACTCCACAGATTATAGTTTATTTCACTGAGTGACCAATGGAAGAGTCTTCAGCCATGTCTGCTGAAGTGAGCTCTCCCTTATCTTTACATAAACACAAATATGCAGCCACAGCTCCACTCCACTATAGTGGTTACTTTTGTGTGGTGTTACAGATTGTTTTGTGGATGCAAGAAGCTTTGACAAACACAAAGCTGCACTCTTCTGAAACCCTTGCTATTTTGAGATGCCGCTGTTGGAAGGTGAGTGTGGGGGGCGGCGGGCGCCTCGGGCCATAACAAGTTATCAAAGGTCCACAGTATGACACCTAACATCATAGTACAATTGTGGGATACAGAAATCAATTTCCAAGCCTACAATGTGTTGCAGTCTCGCCTGAGTGTGGAGCACGCTGGTGAAGGAGCTCTCCTGTCCACGGGAAAGTACCGGGGGCATTTACAGTGAGATAAGAAACATCAGCTCCAGACTGTTGATGAGTTGTCTGGTCTGATAAAGTCTCGCGCCACAGCCATGGTAAGCTCACAGTGAGGCGTAAACAACAGGAACCGATGCACCCATCATGTATGGGAAGAGCTCTAAAGGTCGGGGGGAGGGGGGGGGCTGAGTTATAGTATGGAGGGCAATGAACTGGCTTACGGCACATCTTTCTTCATACTGGAGCTACCTCTAAGGAAAAGAGCATCAAAACAATTGAAACAAGCTTATATAAAAGAGATGCAGCTTCTTGTAGGATTACAACAGAATAAACTAATCTAATACGAATACCTCTTAGATGGTCCAAATGACCTGAACTTAATTGCTGATCTTCATGTAAATTGTAAATGGTGTGATGGATGAATCACTTAATACTGATAAATACTATGACAACAAAACAGAATAAGCCCTTAAATCACTCTATTTCCCCCATTCACAATATCTCTTATGAAAAGGCAATATTCAATATAGGCTCTATATACCTACACAAATCTACTATGATCTGTGCTTGTCTTTGACCAGTTCAAATCTATTGTTGCTTTGATAAGGCAAAAAGGTTAAGAGGCTACAGTAGCTTGACAGGGGGTATCTGCACCAGAGGAAGTCCACCATGTTTCTGAATCAGGGTTTAAACTCTTCATGTCCATGAAGCCCTGGTCTCAGTTTGCTCGGTGCATCACAGCTATACCTCATGAATGATTTTCAGAAAGAAACTGCACATAACAAGCCACTCAGAACAGATTAATCAAATGTGCCAGAGCCTATTGATGCGTCTCAAAATGATCTGTTGCATTTTCCGGTCCAGCACCTTATTTATAGTGCAGCCATCAGCCCTGTACTGCTGCAGGCACTCAATATAGGAGGAAGTTGTTTAAGGGCAAGTCACAGATGGCAGATAGGACAGAGTATACTAAGCTTTGCTGCCGGAAACTATAAAGTTATGCTTAATTTGAGCAGCAAGACTGATGTTGAACACTTGTGGCACATTTGTGGCAACAAGCCGTTTGTTTTCAGATGCTCTAGCATAATGAATATCTGCTTTCTGCTATATAGAGCAAATGTGTGTGTCAAGGGATTTAGAGAATGTAAATCATAAAAGAAGATAAATGAAGTCGATTCACACTTAAAGGATGATTAATTCTGCTTAATTACAACATGGATGTTGTTTTTCTCATTTGGGTTAAAGAGTGGAATCATCAAAATAATGATATTGGAAGACTGTCTAATGGCGCAACAAAGATGATCAGGCAGGTTGTAAACAAGCCAACAGCGTCCCATTTACCAAAAGGGATTCACATGCACCGCTTGCACACAGATTGCAAATGGTGGCAGCGTCTCATTTCACAAATGATGAACTGCAATGATTACAGCCGACAGCTTGAGTAATATTTGTATTGTTGGCTTCGACTTTCTCTTTAAAGTATGTTTTCTCAATGCTAATGTTTCTTACCATATCTGACCTATGTTTCAACATTTCAGCTACTAACTTATCAGTCCTAATATGACCTTTAGACATTACAAAAACAAGAAGTCATAAGAGGCCGGAATGATCCTGAAAACACCCTGTTAAATAAGAACAATGTGACGTAGAAGCAGAGCTAATATTAAAGCAACGAGGACGTCGGAAAGTCCAAAGCCTATGTGGAGAGAAGGAGGGAAGTGTTGATGCTGAGTCTGGTCCTGAGGGTGAGTCAGAGAGTGGGAGTCCAGCGGTCAGCGGGGCCATCACAGTTGTTTTTAAGTATGTGTGTTAGTATGTGCATAAATCTGTGTGTCTCCATTTTGTTATTCCTCCAAATGTATTCAGCAAAATGCATCACAATGCTGGAGGCTATGATTTTGTCTGATTCCCTGCCAGTGTGTTTTTTTATATTAAATTCTACGTAAGCTCGAGCCCGAGTTACTGCTGAGCAATTCGCCCACCACTGAGCTCGTCTCTCTTCCTCTGCCCCCCCCCTTTATCTGCCCCCACTCTGGTTTCATCTAGTTTTCTGCCCGTTTCTGTCTCTCTGGCTTATCTGTCCCTCTTTCTGTCAGACTTTCTCCTGCCTCCTTCCTGTCTTTTATCTCTCTGCCTCACTGTGTCTCTCCCGTCTTTCAGCCTCCTTCCCTTCCTGCCCTCTCACTCTCTCTCTCTCTCTCTCTCTCTGAAGTTGCTCGGTGCTGATGGCTGGAGAGCTCTCTAGGCTGCGTCTCTGCCGGTCTCAGTTTCCATCTCAGGCAGGTCACACTCTCTTAGCCCTCGTCACAGACTGCCCACAGCTCCCAGAAACAAGCATACTAAATGATTCCCGGCAAGAGGCTTTTACGAAAAAGAAAAATAGAGGGTTTATGTAACCACTCAGTTGCCCAATTGACTCGCTCGCTGACATGTTTTCTCTTTAAGTAAACATGGGCCTTTCATTCCCTACAAGAGCTGTACTGACCTTGTGGAGGTTTTACCTGTGAGTGAGTGGGAGTGTGATAGTGAGTGTATGAATTGTAGGATATCTTAACGTGGTGTATCAGCTACGTCGAGTTTCAAATTGATCCAATAGTCATACTCTTTCCCAGTGTTTCCCAAATGTGTATATCACTGTGTGAAACTCATTTAAATAACCTTATGTAAGGCAACAGTGTAGAAATACCCTGTTAAAAGAGTCTTGCATTTAAAACTTTACAAAAAAAGTAAAAGAAAATAGTATAAGCATCAACATGTCCCTAAAGTAGCTTATTCATTCTGTCCAATGGACCATTTAATAATACATTTTTTTGCATTATAAATATTAATCATCACTTTAATGTTGCAGCTTGTTAAGGAGGAGTCTTAAACTAAAAGTACTTCAACATTTTTTAATTAAGTACAGTAGTTGAGTAAATGAGGGTTGTATAAACAAAATACAGTATGTGTATGAGAAATGAATTGTGTGTAACTACTGCTGAATCACTCCAGGTGCACTGCTCATACTGTAGTCTTACTGAATCAGTCTCTAGAGCATAAAAATAAAGGGTTTACTCATCAACCATCCGTGGTCTGTGGATTTTCTTTTGCCAAACATAGAATATAAAAAACCTAACACATGACTGGTTCCTTTCCATATTGATTGAGGCACAAATTGAGCTTTGCAGGCTCAGCCAAATATTGACCAGCATCTGGCAATTGGCTGCTGTTCATTTTCAGCAGCTCAGTCACTCACCAATGTTGTGTATTTTGATGTTTGGCCTGACTGTGTAGTCGGGAGAGGTTTGACTGGAGTCATCATCTGCCTGGGAAACTGAGCGCACAGCACACACAAACACACACACAGAGAGAAGAGAGGACGGAGAAATAACGATGTAGAGAGACAGGCAGAAAAGAACACCTCATTAAAATGACAAGACTGGGTAAAATGTGCATTTCAGGCACCACTAAATTGTATACAGATATAGCAGAGTGTGGAGCAGTTGGTGCGCCCGTGCCACGGAAGAAATCCTGCACTGAGAATCATACTTCCATCTGAAGATTAAATGCATTTGGAACCGGTTGACAGAAATCATTTTAACATTAGCTGTCCGTCTAGACATAGAATTACCTTGTGTCTGCATTGCCAAAATATCCATGAATGAATGATGTGTTGGTGTGTCTTTTGTGTGTTTTCTGCTTCTTTGTGAGCCTTTGATTGTGCCCAGTTAGGAGGATGAAATAGCATTTAGAGTGAATCTACATCGAAGCTGGTAGCAATCAAGTTGCAGCTCTCCACTAATGTAAAGCATATGTCATGAATATTCACATCTCTGTCTTATCTTAAAGCCGAGTGAGGGTTGAGGTGGGAGACACGCAGGGAAAATGAAAACGGCCTGCAGGCAGCTCAAATCAACAGCTTTCTGATAGCAAGCTGTTAAAATGACCTTGCTGAGCAAAGGTTGTGGATTGTAAACTGACTAAATGCACCAATGCACACACGGCCATTCATGCACACACGGACACATTAAAAAGATTTACGGCCGGCAAAACTAGCGTGTGTAGACAAACACACACACACACTCAAACTCCTACAGCACGGACACACGCGGCGATGCACACAAACACACACAGAAGCAAATGGAGGCGTGGAAGACACATCAATAGATTAGCCGTGACACTGGGATGGAGGGGGGGGGGGGGGTGAGTCTAGGTGATGTGTACACAGGGGCTGACACTGGCCTGAGTGTGGGATGTATTAGTGCTGACAAGGTTAGAGGAGAGGGGGGGGGGCTCTCAGCACCGGGCTCTCTGATCAAAGGCCTGCAGGGGAGAAAGCAGGCTACCAGGGTAAAAATAACACACACTACACAGGGCAGCAGGCATCACAGAGCCAGAGAGAGAAGAAGAAACAGACAGTCGGGGAGAGGGATGAGGTGGGGGGGTGGTCAAGAGAGCTTCGGCAGAGAGAGAGATGGGGAGTGACAGAGAGAGCTGAATTTTTTTCTTTACATCTTTCGAACGGCTTCACGAGAGCATGTCATTCACAGAGAGAGCGATAGAGCATTACTGTAATAGCACTGAGACAGAGAATAACATTAAGCCGTCACTCTCAAAGTATGCTTCGAGGGAAAAGACACCATCATCAAAACTTCGCCAAGTGAGCAGGCGGCAACAAAAAAAACTATTGTGAGATCTTAGTTTTGTGTCTCTTTGTGTGTTTCATTCTGCCTCCGTGTGTTTAGAAGATACAAATAGATAGGGGGAGAGGAAAGTGGAAGGGTAGTGACACATGAGGGGAAGAAATGGATTTAAGACGGGGTTGTTGGGTCTCACCGGTGGAGCAGCAGACGTAGACCCTCATTCTCAGGCAGCTGTGGCCGTGGTGGTGGGTGGGCGTGGCTAAAACACAGAGCAAACACACACACACATCATGTCAACATTGTGCCCTCTGCAGGCCACCCTCAACATCAGCTGTGCAAACTGAAGCGCTGCAGCTTTTGTCCCCAGCTCAACTTCCAGAATCTATTAGCAACACCCACATGCCATCAATACGTGACAGCAGCTGCAGGGAAGATATTACAATATTGGATGTTCAGCACTCTGTGGGTTTTTTCTATGCATCACAATAACCCAGCGTCTGCAGGCCTGACTCACAGATGTAGTAGTACTCCTGGCCCACATTGAACTCGTAGCCCAGCGAGAAGGCGCTGTAGCGCTGGAACTTCTCGGAGAACTTGATGGGAGCGTGGGGCGCGTGAGGCCGGTTGCACTCCCAGCGCTTGAAGCCCAGCTGGGGGTCGCAGGTGCGGTAGCCACGGTAATTGACCATGTAGAGGATGTACTGCTCTGCCACGCTGCGCTCCAACGTGCCGCGCTGGCTGGTGTTGTAGTGCGGGCAGTAGATGTCCAGGTAGTCGTTGACGCTCACCTGCACCGTGAATCCCTCCTTTCGCAGCCTGAATGAAAAAGACAGACATATAGAAGAGGAGAGGGAAGTTAGGGTTTATTTACTCAATTTAAAATACCTAAGATAACAAATGATATAGAGTACAATAAATGGCAGAAAACCAACAGGCTTATTCAAAGCCTCCACCTCAATAATGCCACAATTTGTCAGAGAACACAATATGAGCATAACAATATGGAATGAGAAATACAATAGGAAGAAAAGCCTGAAAGAACTGTGGATTAGTAACTAGGGCTTCAATTGTTTTCATTAAAGGAGGAGTTTGTCATTTGGAGGCCTGTTGCCAGCGTTAGGTTGCCAGGCAACCAGACACCTGAAAAATAAGTTTTTCCCAGTCAAGAAATAGCCCAGCACATAACACCTAATAAAACTGCAACTGTTTTTAGACTCTACAAAGAAACAAGATATATCATGTAAACAGGTTAGTTTTAAAGGTGTTGGTAAGCAGATACTAGTGGACAAAGCCAGGCTAGCAGTTTCCCCTGTTCTCAGTCTTTATGCTAAGCTAAGCTCCTATAGCTTCATATTGAACAGAAAGATTTTAAACAGATGTGTTTTTCTCATGTCACTCTTGGGAGGTAAGCAAATAAGAGAATTTCCAAATGCTTGAACTGTCCCCATAACCTCGCAGTTCTCTTGATAGTCAATCATTTGATCCTTCAGTCTGTAAAAAAATGAAACATGTTTTCAAGACCCGAAAGTCCCAAGGCCCCTTCAATGCAAACCCAAGAAAATTAATTTACAATGACATAAAACTGAGCACATAGTGAATGTAAAAGCCACACAAAGAGGCAAGAGAGCTATAAACATTTCCCCTAAGCGCACATTAACGCCCTCTTCTCTTTGAGCGAGATACTATTACACCTTTCTCCCCCCTCTACCTATAAAAACACACATTCCCTCACTAAATTTCTCGTAGCAAGTCTTAGGACAGTGCTGAGAATGATAATCTGCCCTCTTGTCTTTCCCCCTGAGCCAGCCAGGTCATCGAGGCGGAAGGAGATCCTGTCAGTCGGCCTGCACACGGTTCCTATGACGACACACTCTCCCCCGGCCTCTGATGGAGGAGTGTGCTGCATGCAGGTAAGGAAGGCCACTCTAAGGTAAAGTGTGCGTGACGTACATGGCAGTACAGTATCCGTGATTCAAGTGTCCTCACTGAGGCGATGATGTGGCATGATTTTGCATTCCACCACCACACTGTGATCTTCACTGTTTATAATGCTAAGTATACCTATTATGTAAATTACACAATCTGTAATTAGACAAAGTAGAATTCATTAAAAGGGCTCCTGCAGGTGAGCTGATGAGAAGGGAATTCACTTGGCTGCAGTGATGTGTAACGTGCACCAACTATAGCAGTAATGACCCCTTTTCACCACCAGGTGGAGGTATTGTGCTGTCTGTTGTTAAAGAGCTAACCTCCCCTCTTTCACTCATTCTTTCTCTCCCCTGCTTCTCTCTTCTTTCCTACATATTGTCTGTTACACACATACAAAGTAGCACACACATCACCCCTCACTGTGTATGCATTGTGCCTGCACACACGCGCACAAAGCTGCGTGCGTATCCGTGCATATGTTACTGGGTCAGGCCCCCTGAGAGATTATTATTCAATTACAAAATGTGGATCAGAAATGTCATAACACCTCTCCTTCTCCCTCTCTTTCTGTCTTGCCATCTTCCTCACTGTTCTCTTACAACTCTTTACTGGATCCTCACCTGCCCCATCGTTCTTATCTCCTCCCCTCCTCTTCATTTACACACACACACGCTGAGGCAGATGAATATCAATTCTCTTAACCAGTGTTCCTTTTTAGGCCCATCAATCTTATCTGTGCTTCCTGTCCTCGCTGCTCAGATGTGAGATGACAGACTTTTGTCTTGCAGTGTTGCAGGGAGAGACAACACAGCTATGCTTCAAAGGGACTATATTTAGAGAGGGGGGCTTGGTGGTGGAGGAGGGGAGGAAGTTTGGGATGGGGGAGAGAAGGGCATAGATAGATAAAGCAGTACAATGGGGGGGGGGGGGGGTGCGGTAGAAAGAATGGTAGGCAGATAGACCAAAGATGAAAGTGGGAGAAAGAGCTAGGGTTGAATATGAAAACATGCCACGAGGAGAATCCTGGATGTGCGTGTAAAAAGTCTGAGTGATGGAGTCATTGAGAGATAGGTGAGAGGGGCCGAACGCAAGTGTGTGTGTGTGTGTGTGTGTGTGTGTGTGTGTGTGTGTGTGTGTGTGTGTGTGTGTGTGTGTGTGTGTGTGTGTGTGTGTGTGTGTGTGTGTTAGGGCTGCTCAATTAATCGTATTTTAATCGCAATTACGATTATGGCTTGCAACGATTACGAAAACAACGTAATCGAAATAAAACGATTTTCTTTTAATTATTATTATTACTTTTTTTTTTTTTTTTTTCAAATGAAATATTTTTTTTGTTGGTTTTTCAGTTGAATTATACTTAAAGTTCAGGGTAATCAACTGTTAAAAACATACTGTTCCAATAAATTGATGTTTTCAAAGTAAATGGATAATCGTTTTTAATAATCGTGATATCAATTATTGACCCAAATAATCGAGATTATGATTTGTGCCATAATCGAGCAGCCCTAGTGTGTGTGTGTGTGTGTGTGTGTGTGTGTGTGTGTGTGTGTGTGTGCGTGTGTGTGTGTGTGCGTGTGTGTGTGTGTGTGTGTGTGTGTGTGCGTGTGTGTGTGTGTGTGTGTGAAATAGTATGTATGGATAACACTCAATGCTACTGCTCCTAGTACTATGGGTTAAAAGCAGAGACCACATTTCACTTTGTGTGCTGTGTGCATGTATGTGTGACAAATAAAGAGGGTTTGTTTCATCCTGCGATTCTACTGAGAGAGTACAGCAAATGCTGCTAACTCACAAGGGATATCTTTTTTCTTTATGCTTTAAGATTTACTGGCTTGAGAACATATAACATATTTGCAGGAGAGGCCACTTAACGAACAATAACAACGTATTTTGATGCATCCATGGGACTTCAGTGTACAAGCTGTGGATGAATTTCTAAAGGAATCACTATTTCTGATGAATGTATTGATTCTCTAGCCTAAAAAATGTCAGTAAGTGACTAAAATGCTTGTTTTGTCCAATCCGCATTCAAAAACCCAAGTATGTGAGATCTAAAAAATAAGCAATTCCATATATTTGAGCAGGACATTTGGCAATTATTTCAGCTATAGGTAAACTCTTAAATAATTACCTGTAAGCAATTATTTCAAGTGTGGCCAATTATCCATCCATGTTTCATCCCCAGATGAACATGCGGTTCTGTTACTTTACTGTTTACTGTTTTGGTTATCACTTCAGCTTCAGTAGACATAGCTACACAGCAGGAGGACCATTTGCACCAATCATAAAGCCAGCGATATAAGAAGCAGGAGGAGGAAAAAACGACTCTGGAGGAAGAAGAGAAGGCAAGGTGGTGCAGAAGAGAAGGGAAAAGAAAGAGGAGACTATAAGGGTGGGGTGAGAAGAAGGGGCTGGCTGGGTGAGAGGAGTCCCTCTAGGTGTACACTGTTATATAAGCAGTCCACTTAGCGGCACAAGACAGAGAGGTTGCAGGGCAGAGAGGACAGGAGAGGAGAAACAGAAGAAGGGGGTGAGAGGAGATTTAATAAGTTACAGTGGTGAGGGGGGGGGGGGGAGGAAGGAAAACGCACTGAATGATGACAACAAAGAGAAAAGCACAGAACGAGAGGCAGAGGCCGACAGAGACATAGTGCTCCCCGGGGATGAACATATATGTGGTAAAAGTGCATCAAAAAGACTGATGGCTCTCATTCTCTCGTTGTCTCTCTTCTCCCGCAGCTCACATCTCTCCCCCTCTTCCTGCTGTGCATTGTCTCTGTGCTGCTTTTTCTGTCTCATCATCATTTTCCTATGAGTGGGAGTGTGCAGCTAGTTAGTAAAGGCTGCACTCGTGGTGAAGACTGCCAAGGGAGGCAGATAGCGGGGAGAGAACGAGAGGTAAAGAGGAGGGGGGGAGAGAGGAAGACAAAGATAGCACCACTGCACCTTTCACTTCTGCGCTAAAAAGAGTCTTTGGAGGATACTGCCGGTATCAATAAATAACAATGGAAAGGTAGCGCTACAGCTAAATATACTTAAAAGCATACAGTGGACAAAAACAGAACATCTTCTATAGACACAGAACACATTTAATTTTTGTAGGAACAAATAAAACACCAGAAATAATCATTTGTAAGCAGAGATGAGGAATTATCAGGGGATACTTCCCTCACTTTCCACACGAGCGGTGTCAATCACTATTGTTTTGCTCCTCTGAGCGTAAAACTGAAACAAATCCATGTCATTTTTCTCCATAATAGTTTTGCCAGATATCATCAAAGAAGAAATATACGCGCTGCTGACTTTCAAGGAAAATGATACCAGCGCAATTCTATTTGTTTTTTCCCCCCTACTGACATAAATGGATATGAAAAGTCAAAATTCATCTAGGTATTCTCCACAGTCTGAAGTCAGTGGCGTTTCTTTCTGCTGCAGGTTCATACCAGAGGCGCAAACTGTTTTTCGAAATCCATTAAAACAGCTTGAAGAGACAAGTTGTTGCTTTTGACAAACAAAGTCCAACCTTGCAGTAGAAAAGGCTGCAATAGCTTCTGACTGTGGGGGAACAAAAGAAAAGAACACTTGGGTTTTCACTCTGAAGCTATTAATGCTGTAAAGAGTACAATGACACCAGTACTGTTCTTTCTAAATTCACAAAGCAGCAGGGGGTTGACGTTTGTGAAATAATATCATGAGTGCACACTGGAAAATGAAATTGACTCATGAAAGCAAAGTGGTTTTAATATTTCCCATTCTTTTAATTTCAATGCTAACATATTTCTTGTGCCAGGATTCCCTTTTTCTGGCAAATATTTCAACAATTTGACCTCCAATTTGCTCTATGTGTTTGCACGTCTACAATTTACCGTGAACCGATTATTTCCGTG